AAGTTTTACATTATACCGCGATCATTCCAATTATTACACGATATCGTTTCATCTGAAGTTATTTACTTTTGGTCGAAGCGTGAGAATAAATCGAGAACTCTCGTGTATCTCAAGCAAACTACGTAACTATTTTGCCATAAATATACCATTCGTACGTTTTCCATCCGGGAGAACGTGAAAAGTATATGCTGATTTTTAATCAAAATTCAAGTACTCGTTAGAGATTATGTACCCATAATCGTGGAAAATTTATCGAAAGATTTATCGAAAGAAACGTGTGCGAGTTTCACGATATCCAAGAGCCAAATGAAACCATCGTTGAATATTTTTAAACGTAATGCTTCATCACGGGTTTCATAAATTTCTATTTCTGTATAAGCAAAATTTTCAGAACGGTAAATTATTATCATTTTTAGCTCTCTGTCAATTGCGCATTATTTCAAAATTATCATGAACAAATTCTTTGTTATAAATATTAAACTGTCGTTAACCTTTTTTTTACGCACAATCATCAAGCAGATAAAAATATCGTAAGGAACGAAAGTTGAAGTATTCTTATTCATTATACTTTTCTTTGTCATAATTCTTTTTTTTTAACCATAATTTTTCATTTTTTTACCAGAATCTTGATGATAAAACTAGTTCTTTGAGTTAAATTTCATGAAATTTATTTTGTAAATTATACTTTGTTCCTCTGAATAGAGAAAAAAACTGAGTTCTTTTATTTTGAAATAAAAATAAACACTATATTCTAAACTATAATAACTATCTACACTCTATCCTCGTATATTTTCAACTAACAGCTTTTTACGAGCATCTGGCAAAAGTGTCGTATTTGCATAGAAAATTATTCATTTCCTCATCTTAAGGACCAATGTAATGGAGTTCGTTATTTCTACGTTATTTCTGTTTCATTGAAGAAACGGACTATCACGAATCGAACTATTATTTCTAATTTTTAAAGACGTTTCATCTCTGTCGTATTCTAATTTCTTGATTTTCAGTAATTATAATATCCGCATTAAAATAACCGCAATCAAATAAGTTAAATGAAATAGCTTTAATTTTTTCTCAAGTTATTTTATAAAAAATATCTCAATCATTTTCATATTAAATTTAAAATATCTTAACATTAAATAACAATGTTAAATAACAATTTGAATTAAATATTTTTTGTTTTTTTTTTAAATTATTTAATGTTTTTTAAATAAGCGCTTTAATTTACTGAGATATATAATATACAAGACAGAAAATATCGAAGTAAATAGAGAATTTTACTCATTAATGTTGTCACAGTATTGTGATAAAAATACGACGTGATCTCGCAGCAGAGACAAACGAGCGAAAAGCAAGAAACGCAGCGTGTCCTGCGTTTCTTGCTTTTCGCATTACGTCTCGAATATTTTCATTTCGTGGCTTCTTGAGAAAGCAACTAAAAGCAAACACTTGACAATCAGAGCGGTGTGAAATGAGATAGCGGCCCTGATGTTTTCTCAATACATTATATGTGACTAAACAGAGACAATATTTTTCGAAACCTGGTACTATCCTCCATCACGAGGATATAAATAAAATGAATGTCCAGTCTCTCGGGCTGAACCCTGGAACTAGATAACGTCCGTTAAATTTATGATGGCCTTTTAATCCCTTAAAGCTCAGATGTGTCTATGTCAATAAAAAAATTGATAACTAACATTATATGAAATATTCTTGTAAAAAGACACGAGAGAAAAATCTTTTACATTTTTTTTATGTTGACTGATCTGTTTTGCATTCAAAGTGATGTGAGAAATACTTGTGTAATACTATCCATCTAGTCTAATGTATGTTGCATTATTCTGAATAACGAGAAATAAATAAAATGTTATTTAATAAAATTTCTTATCATTCTAAGAATTATAAGATCGGTATACAGAAGAATATACTGAATATTTTCTTTTTAGAAAACTTCGACTAATTCTCGACTGATTAAAGAAAGCATGAGATTATCGTGTCTCGTTAATTTGATTATATTTTTTTCTACTCTAGAAATGACGAACATTACGGTCAAACGCGACCGTGCATGTGAAACTCGCGTTAGCTTTAGATTTAATGGGTACAGTAGCGAAAAGCGGATTCAGCTTCACTCGTTTCCACATTAATTCGAACGGACAAAGAAATCTCGCGTGCTTAGTCGCGATACAGTAAGCACTCTCCCACAAAGGAGCAATTTGGCTGAAAACGTTGAAATCGAGCAGTATATTTACAAGCAATTTGAAACTGTAAGTATATGTGTGTGTGTGTGTGTATATATATGCACGCGCGCGCGCGCGCACACAAACACACACACACACACACACACACACATGGTGCACTTCAAAAAATTTTTGTCCAAAAGTGTCGGCAACGCGTACAGGCAGTCGAGTAAAGAAACTTTTTGATTAGGTTATTCGGTTATTATACTTGTCAAGACTTCTCCTTTGCGATGCTATGGCAAAGTTAGATTCGTTAATAAAGTCAATAAAATAACATCTCTCGGCAGCGATGCGCTAATGGAACGTACGAGTAAAGATAAAACAGATGTTTCCTGGCAGAGAGCCGAAGTAATATTGAGTTTTGTAAGGAAAAGGAAGAATCCCTTAGGGATCAAGTTAAGTGGGTCAGTTATTGTAAAGTAGGTGAACAGTCGTAAAGTAACAGTCTCTCTCTCTCTCTCTCTCTCTCTCTCTCTCTCTTTCTAGAAACGTAGTACCTCAGGTTTCACCAAAGGTATCTGATACATCGAATATATCTTTTGATTAGATACCGAAAGTTCTTGATTCGAGTGCTTTTGTACGCGCTGTCGAAACTTTGATCAAACGTTTTGGAAAAGCCCTTACCTACCGTCAGAAGACACGTCAGCATTAACGCAATAAAAGGATAAACTCGAAGGAGGTACAATATAACTTTTCAGAGATAATTCTCCTCCTGCTTCGTGCGAATTATTCGTATGTTCCTTTCAAGTGCATCATTTAACAATCGTAATATATTTAATCATTGCGGACGAAATTGAAATGGCGAGTACGAAGCGAGAGATCCAGTGAGAATTCAACACGTAACATCTTTTACACGTAACAGATTAGTAACAGAATAAATTCCATTTTACCTCCATTTTACACGCAATCAGTGTATGCTGTATATTAAAATTAAATATAGATTAATCTCTCTGTCCTCTCTCTTCACGTTTTTATGAAAGGAAAACATATTGCACTATTATTTGGCGAGTTCCTGGATTAATTATCAGTAGCAGAAATAATGGAATGACTACCTACGCGCGGAAAATGAGCAGAGGGAGGTTTTGCTTCATCATGCGCACCGAATTTATCGAGAGAGGAGGAGAGAAAAGTCTATGTTTTTTTCTGTTGTAATATTAAAGTGGAATTAAAATTTTCGTCGCGCGAGGAATAACTGAAAAAGGGGACACAACTAATTACCAAGTCGAAATTTTGCGTCCGACAGAAACTCATGCCTCGCTGCTCGCCTCTGTCTCACGTTTTTCGCCTCTTTTTCTTCTTTTATTTCTTCGCCTCTTTTTCTCCGTGACTTCTCAACACGCGTGGCAAGCAAGGCGTACAATCAGCAAGTTCCGCCTTTATTTATTCAGCGAATCTAGGATCCACTTTCCGAAACTCCGCGGAGACCAGGTTCCAGTTTTCCCAGGCTGCTCGCACCCCTTGCTCGTCCCTCGAACAACCCCCACGATTCTGACGTAATCCTGCAATCCCGACATAACGATAAATCGCGCTCGGCAAACTGGCGGCGTTATCGAATTTACGCGTCACAGCAATTAATGTCGCGATACGCCATGGCGCCGAATCTCTATCGTTGGAAACGGCAAAATCTTTTTTTATGGCTAGAAAGGGGAAGGAAATGAATTTAGTGTCATGTCACGCATTGGCCGGCGAGTTTTCAACGGACGGCTCGTGTTTTACGATGTGATATGGAGAGATGGGCAGACGGACACGATTGGGAGGAAAGGATGAAGAATTGTCTGTGGTTGTGTCTGCGTGAGGGAACGCGAGATTGACTTGAAGAGAGAAAGGGAGAGAGAGAGAAAGAGAGAGAGAGAGTAAAGAGACATGAGTGATGAAACCTGTTCACGTACTCAATGATATACGTTACAGATCATAACTGTATTACGTCGCTTTCGTTCGAGGCGAGATCGTTCCTCGTGATGAGTAAAGCTTTTTTTCCGTCGTTAGCTGTAGACATCCCGAACATGTTACCGATCACACATTTGAGACTGACGTGTGATGCAGAAGTCACGTTGCACCGGGAATTAGTAATTCTTAAGAAAAATTTGTCCGCGATGTATCTGTAGTAGTTTGCGGCTTAAATGCGAAGCATTAAAAGTATATATTTTCCATTTGAAGCTTAGAATAAAAACCCGAAAGTTTGTAAAATGTTGGCTTTCCCGAGAAAGTTTGACTTGATTTTAAGCAAACTTCGAAAGAATTTGTTTTCTTGAAGCTGAACCTTCCTTTCTCCTATTTTCTTTTTCTTTGCCATATAAGAGTAACTGCCCAGTTTACTTCTTAGTATTTTTACAATTAATATTTATTCACAACACGCCACAGAGGTGTGGAATACTCCTCCGGGAACTGGAACTGAAAAACTAACAGACGCGTTCTATGCAGTACAGATTCACGTAAAGAAATCATGCTAAATATTAAAGGAAACCATCTCGCTCGGGGCGAATGTCGTATCACTCACTCATACATAACACATCTCAGGGCGAGTGTACATGGCCCGGATCAGGCTAGGAAAGGGGTGAAAGGGAAAAGGAGCCATGCCAGAGAAAAGAGGGATGTGAACCAGATCTCGAGAATGTGTGTGTGTGTGTGTGTGTGTGTGTGTGTGTGTGTGTGTGTGTGTGTGTGTGTGTGTGTGTGTGTGTGTGTGTGTGATAGAGACAGAGAGAGGAAGGGGGTGTGCGAGAGGTAGAGGCAACCCGTGTGTGGGTTCTCTGTCTTCTTTCGCAGATCATCGGAGATCTACCGTCGACGACACGCTATCTCGGGTCATCGACAAGCCTTCGCTACCAAGGCGACCGGTGCGGGACCCGCCGGCACCTCGACCACCTCGGAATCGCTGGAGAGCTACGCCCTCGATACAGAGATACCCGCCGCAGCCAGGAGGCCTCGTAGCACGAGGGGCTCGCAAAAATGGAGTAACGTACGCGCGGTCATGGCGTTATATTCCTCTCTACGCAAAATCAAGAGGTACTCCCGCCATTAGTCGATACGGACGGTAACCTCTGGCACCTGTCATCTGCACACAAACACCCATACCCACGCACACACGTACACACGTACACACGTACATGCACACGGACGTACGCACGCGCACACATACACACATGCAAAATTCTCAATAAATTGTGTTGGGAACTCGGCACGATACCTTGAAGCATTCACTTGTAGTCAACCCTTGTGTATGTATGCTTTTAGATCTTCATTTTTTTACGACGTTCAACACATATCGTTCGGAGTCTTTATTTTCACCCAATGCCAACAATTATACCTTTTTTGAAATTATTTAATAATTAACTTAATAAACAAATAATAAATTAACAAAGGAAATTCTAAGAAAGTAAATTTTTAGATTAACGATTACAGAAAGGTAAACAAATAATAAATTAACAAAGAAAATTCTAAGAAAGTAAATTTTTAGATTAACGATTACAGAAAGGTAAAATTACAATTCTATCGATTCAAAATTTTACAATTGTTATTTTACATTTTCAATTCTTTTTGAGATGAGATTAATTAAAATCACCGACTGCGGAGTTTGTTTTGAGTGACTTAGAAAGTGTTACTAGTTTAACACAAAAGAAAGGGAAGTCTCGAGAAATCTCGGATCTGGTTTTTGTTAAAAGTACTGGAGATCTTGCAGCGTCGGCGTTTGCATCTTGTCAATTATTCATTCCGTGTACACGATAGATTTTCGAATTTCTATTCAAATACTCTCGGGGATTCGGATTTTTAGAACTACGCTTTGGCGCCCGAGACTACGAGTTTTAAAAGGGTTTCGCGGATTTTCAACAACGAGTGAATTATTCAAGAACATCTCTCAACGCGCGCACGTAGCAGTTTTGATCTGATATTGTGCCCATCACCCCACACAATGCCACAGCCGATATAACGATGTAAAACGAAGGAACGTAAAATTCACGAGCCCACGAGACTTCCGCGAAATAAATGTATTAAAGTTTGCAATAAAGTTTGTATGGAAAAAAAAGCATCGCTTTATTAGATTTGAAGGTAATATGTTCACGAGGTTATCGACTTTATATCTGCGAAACATTTATCAAAGATATAGATAAATAAATTTCGTAAAACAAAGTGACATTCTCTCGGAAAGCGGAAAGCGAAACATGGACGAAACTATGAAATTAAAATATTTTTCTAAAAATGCAAATATTTATTATACGTTTATTATTTTCAAAAGGTGAAAAAATGTCCTATATATATATATACAATAATTAGATAAAACACAAATGACATAACGCATCAGATGTATCTGCATATATAACTTTAAATGATCTATTACCAACGGTACGGTTTCAAGTTTACAATCCGATATTGTCTTAAAGTACATCAGTATTGATGTCATAAAATGACAGAGTCTCGGGTAAGTCTCGAGTGAAGGTTTCGAGTGTCGATCCGATCGTTTTACCTCGTGAACATCGCCCTGCATTCGAAACCGCACGAAAGTACTAGCTACTCGCTCGTCACTGCAACTCTATCCTGTCTCTCTCTCTCTCTCGCCGTTCTCCACTCTCTTCTTACCTTTATGCGTTCACCTCAGATTACTATATAGATGACTATATGCTCTACTCTGTATTAGAGGATAGTAGCCTGATAGATAATCACCGCTATCATCTATTCTCTGATTTCTATACTTTTTAAATTGCAAATAAAAACTTAGAAACTTGTGAACGTTGTTGAACGTTTACTCGGCGCTTTAATTATCGTGCAAGTTTTTAGGTTCTTGATTATCGGCAATATTTATTAAGCGTCTAACGAGCGAGAGAACTCGAATGTTTTGTACCAGCGGTGTTTATGATCTCTGTTCTGTCATTCGTGCATTTAACACTCTGATTGATACGCATGTACCGATAACACGGCTCATTTTCTCCGTTTGCTTTGTACCGGCGCGATCCGATTGACCGGAAAATACGATACGCTTGAACTAATAGCCGAGCGACTGATTCTCGATTAATCTCACACCGCGAATGAAATATTTCTCTTCAATTGGCGATGTGCGATGTGAGTTGTATAGAACGAGATAGAACTGTTTCGCGTTGCCAGCACTGGTATCCATGAATTTTTAACTGTCGTCTACGCTTCGAAATCCCCTGAATGCTTTAAATTTTATTTTTTACCTTTCTATACTAGTGCTATCGGTAAATATCGATAAAAAATTACTTGTCCACTGACGATAATTTAAGATTACGATTTGCCTTTCTTTTCTGGAATAATTTTTTATTGGATGATAGTTAAATCTCCATAAATGAAATGATTATTCCGAGCGAAAGTAATCTTTTTAAAATAAATATGATTTATCAATATTTTCAATAAATGCGTTTATTGACATTAACTTTCAAAATATCCCTTGACTAGAAAGAAAGAAAAGATTATTGTAACAGAGAGGAAGAAAGATTTGAAGGAGTTTTAATTTAAGAATTGTATTGTACAATACACACAACAACGTACACTTACATCTATGACAGAACACTATACATGAATGTTATATTAATGATTCAAGAATGTGTAGTGGCATAATGACAATCTTTAGTTCCGTTAATGTCTCTGTCTAACGTATGTGATTTTTCAATGTCTCTGTCTCTGTCTTTGTCTATCTGTCTGTCTGTCTGTTTGTCTGTCTGTATGTATGTATGTCTGTCTGTCTGTCTGTCTGTCTGTCTGTCTGTCTGTCTGTCTGTCTGTCTGTCTGCCTCCTATCCATTTGACACTCTAGCTAACTGATCTGATCTCGATTCTCGCTCATTTCTTATTTCAAGCAAGAACTACCTATCTTACATAGACTTTAGAGAATACGACGAGTGTATTTCTAATCTTCCTGAAAAGAAAAACAAAAAAAGAAGAGAATGATGTTTCTTCCGTTTCACTAGGTTTGATGAATGGAACGATAGTAGGCGTATATACCTGTATACCTTCGTGTGTGTTTGCTAGATAAATAGATTATAGCTGCGTAGAACTGCGGAACGAGGCGTCTTGCGACGCTTTTTCCTTTGCGATTCCTGCGTGACGCTTCCTGCGCGACAAAACTCATGCATGTATGAGGCTCGCGAGGAATTCGCGGCGTTCGCAGTCACGCGGAATCCCGATTAAAAAGTCATGTTTGTGCGTCGTGCGATCGTATATTCTTTAGGGCGATACGCGAAGGTATGCGAGATTACAACGTGTCTCGCTAAATTTCGAAATTTTTCCGTATTTGCCATCATACTTGCAAACATAATCAATGCTAATTATGTTTATTGTATAATAATTTTTGCTGATAGACTCGAATCGGTGTTTATGAGAGCGATGTATTCATCGCCGATATCGCCGATGTCTTCTTTAAGAATGACCCAATTCAGAGAATCACGATATTTCTTAATTTAGTTTAGCTTTTATGAACGCGAAAAGTAGAATATTTTTTCCAATAGACTTGAAAATTTATAATAAATTGATCGGGTATGTAGTTTTTCTTGTATCTGCTTCAAATTAATTTCCAATTAGATATTTTATTTTTAAAGAAATTTTATATTATATCAATATTTGCGGTTTATATTTAATTACAAAACATTGGGGAAAATAATAAAAATTTAATATTGGAGAGTAAAATTTAACTGCGTATATTAAAAGTACATTAAAAAGTAGCACAATTAACGGAAAATTAATTTATTTTAAAATTTCTCCGTACTAGGAAATGTTTAAAGCGAAATTACAGTGATAATTTTTGCAGTCTCATTTGTGATATATTTTTAAAATATAATTTGCATATTTCAAAATATATATACATTAATAAACTTTTAAATGTAAATTAAAAAAAAATGTGCATAATAAGTAAGTGTGTTTAAGTTGTATCATGTTTGAGAAAAAAATGTGATATTCAAGGTTGTGCAAAGTAAAAAATATTGACTCCCATAGATCTCTTCTCTCTTTATTCGGATGATAAACGATTTTACCGGTTAGTACCTTCATAAATTCGACACGCGTCATCGGAACAGATTGTTTCCGTCTGGATAAATCAGTCTTTAAAATACGTGCTCAGTTTCCACGGGAGGATAACTCATATATCACTCATATTCACTTAGTACTTGCGGATACACACGAGAAACGCGTGATTATTTATAGAGCGCCGACAATCCGTGCTTATCGGTTTCTCTCTCTCGCGATGAAGGAACAGCGGAAAAATAGGATTTGTCGCGATGTGAGATTTCGATCGATAGAAAAGATATATTCAAAAGGCAGTCTTGTATCGCGCATTGAAACCACCTTTATCATGCTTGTATTTTATTTCTTCGCGTGCAGGCGCTGCCTGCATAATTCATAGGTCAATGCATACGATTAAATCTAATGAAATAGATCTCGTGTGACGTAAATTTCCCAACGCATGTGTAAAATTTGCATTGCGTCGATATTTAAATAATATAACTTCTTTTTTAGACCGCATAATTTTAATGAATTCTTTCCTTTGACAAAAAAAAAAATATATATTATTCTCCGCAAATGGACGCATTAAAATTATTCCAGATGTGACGCCAATATCGAGTGCTTACATAAATATAAAATCTGCGAAGACGTTTCATTTTCGACGATTGTTGATGTTTACTTAGCCACAATTTATGCATTTAAATGATTCCCTTTAAGACGAATGTACGAATGGAATTAATGTTTTTATTATTGTGCAGTTATCGCTTTTACGACTGCGAGAGCTAGAAGATGCCTCTAGTCGGCAATCGTAATGTTCTCCTTCCTATTACTTAACGACTGTACTCCTTATACACGTTTATGAGATGTATTTTCTTATCTATAAATCAATCTGCAGACAATGATGATTTTATCTTTTTATTATTTATTTATGTAGAATAAAAAGCAACATTGACAATTTGATCAAAGGAGCCACAGATATATAATAGAATGTACATTTTGTTCGTCTACAAGTTGAAAAACTTTTTCGTTAAATTTCGAATTAAATTAAAATCAACTGAGAAGGCTGATTTAATCGAGCGTGTGAGAAAAAAAATCCGCGGGAGAAATTCGCGCTCCGTTTCCCCCTTCGTTCTTGACTGGCGACCTATTTATCTTTCTGCCCGCAGAACGAAGAGCAATCAACGGTGGATGAAACTGCGCACGACCGTGCAACTGTCTTCGGCGATCTCCACGATTCAGAAGAAGCCGCCGCTGAAGCGAGAGGATTCGTTCTTGAAGAGGTTCTCCACTCGCCAAATACCGGAAAGCCAGGAGACCCTCGATACCGCCGAGGGTGAAGGGGACGCGGCTGACGACAAGGAGACGGGTAGTCGTCGCCGCAGGCGGCCTCGCAGGCCTCAGAAACCGCCCAAGACTGTGGTCAATCCCGACGAGAATTTCTATTATTATTGGTTAATGCTCCTGTCGGCCTGTGTCCTCTACAACCTCTGGACGCTAATCGTTCGTCAAAGTTTGCCAGAGCTGCAGGCGCTGGCGCCCAGCGCCTGGCTCGCCTGCGACAGCTTCACCGACGCCGTGTTCGTTCTGGACGTGGCGGTGCAGTTTCGCACCGGCTACTTGGAGCAGGGCCTGATGGTCTACAACAACTGGAAGCTCGCCGGTCACTACCTCAAGTCCAAGTCCTTCATCCTGGATCTGCTCGCGCTGCTGCCGCTCGATCTCCTCCAGATGAACCTTGGCACCAACCCCATGCTGAGGTTCCCCAGGTTCCTCAAGATCTACCGGGTGTACAACTATTACTACATGGTGGAGTCTCGCACGGTTTATCCGAATCTCTGGCGCGTACTGAACCTTATTCACATACTGCTCATACTGGCGCACTGGTTCGGCTGTTTTTACTACTTGCTGAGCGAGACCGAGGGCTTCCAGGGCGATTGGGTGTATCCGTATCGGCCGGGCGAGTACGCCACCCTGACCAGGAAGTATCTCGGCTCCCTCTACTGGTCCACCCTGACGCTGACGACCATCGGTGACCTGCCCACGCCGGAGACCAACGCCGAGTGAGTGACATAATCTCTACCGAAACACGTACATAACACTACTTTCTCTCCCTGCTGCCACCTTTCGTTTTCTTCCTCTTCTTGGTTTTTCTTTTTTTTTTTTACTTTCCTTTTTATCGTATCGCGCGCACGTCTCGCGCTCGTATGCGCGCTCATCTCGTCACGACGAAGCTTAAGAGAGAATGGAACGTCGCGCCTTTTTCCGTTGCCTTCGCTCGCCTCTCGGATCGAGAATTATCGGCGAGAGCACCGATACATGTCTAACCTACTGACATAACGAGACATCGAATTGAAATAATTCGCGACACAAATCATACATACTTTTCCTTTTAGGCATTAATATAAAATATATACGAAAGTTCTGAAATATAATTAATTATCTCGAAAATTACTGTACAGAGAACCATTTTACATAATTTTCAGTTATAAAGTTCCAGTAAACATGCCTTGGAAATTCTTCCTTACGAAGTTATTGTTAAGGAACTTTGCCGCGCTGGAACCATACTTCTCGAGTGTCGCGTTATTTCTTGTACGATACGATTGGATCCTGAATAATTTACACTTGCCGGTTAGTTTGAGAGAATTAATTGGAAATTGATTTTCTCATGTCTCAAGTATAATCTTTTCAAAAGTAGTGCGAGCATTGAACCCTTTATGTGTTCACTATCACGATATCAATTGTCTCGGTTTTTTGATATATTTAGCGCAAAAATAAATTCGAGGAGTTTTTTTTTCGAAAAGTTCTGAAAGATAAATTTTCTCATCTAGGATTGATTTTCTAGAAATTCATTCAGACGCAAGCGAACTGTTTGCTGAACTTTTCGTAAATTTTTACATGTTGAAATATATTGAGTTTTCCGTGATACACTGATCGATCTCAAAGTATTAAATCTGTATGTCAGCATGGAGCTTGAGTTCAGCTTGCATTCACGTCGCGTTACGCGACATCTTAAAAACTGATGGCTCCTTCAGGCTATAACGCGGTATCAACAGGTAGCCGGTGCATAATCTTGTTTACTTTACGACATTCGTCGTTTGGCTTATGCGACTAGCGATCTGCTATCAAGCTGTCGGCGATATAAAATTCGCGTGGTTGCAAAAAAGCCCGCGTAACACAGGGCGTTGCTGAAAACCTGAAAAATTTCAAAAGACTAAGGCAGAAAAATTTCGAAGACGAATGTGTGTCGAAACGGAAGATCATTGATTCACACTCGAGAGAGTTATCTTTAATCGCACGGGGATAAAAGAGAAGATTTATCTTGTCTGAACGTAACAAATCGAAACGACACGAGTTATTTAGTTAATATTTATCCTCGTAGTTTTACGCAGTAGCCACGAATTGTCCTGCGTGCAGACGAGCGTAACGAGCGCGTTACGTCTGCTCTGATTTCAGTGAACGTCATAAAACGATGTGCGCGAACACTCCAATATCGACGTGAAATTAACGCCTCGCCGAGAGAATTGCTGTTGGCTCGATAATTATATCCCCCCACATTTTCCACGATTTCTCAGTTGGTTCGCGCATTTTCGGAAGCGCGTTCATCGAGAAATACAATACATATTATTGGGACGTGTCGTGTAACTGTGTGTATCGCATGCTCCGAAAGCGAGATCCCACTGGACCAAACGGCCACTCTCCGTCTCACATAAGTCGCAGATTCAAATTCTCGTACACTATTCTGATGCAAACGGACGTTACGCGAACGCTCGATTGTCATTGTTGCAGCTACTCGTTATGCAACGTTACCTCCCTTGGGACGTCTTGAATTTCGTTGAACGTTGAATTCGAAGAGCTAACGTAACGAATTCTGGAATTAACGTATCCTCAAAATCGAATTTTGATTGGTATTTCGCAAAATATCACGGTGTTATGTAAATTAAGGATTTTCGAAGGATACACGTTTTACTGCGGATTATTGTGACAATGGGCAAAGATACATTTGTAAAGATTAATAAATAAATAAAGCATTTTCTCCTCAAGTTATCAAATCTGATTTAGATGATTTATAGTTTAGAATTTATTGTATTTGTAAACGTATGTGCGATATAAATAATTAAAAAATTTGATGCTATGTAAATTAATGCAATATTTTATATTTACGCTCACGTATCAATATGCATTACATATAAAATTATGAATACAACTTTATTTCGATACTTGATACAAGTTCAGTACAAGTACAAATCGTGTAGACTCTAGTTTTGTGAGCGTTGATTTAAAAAAAAGAGTTCTCATTTTGCAAATATCGAGTGTGGAGTATACAAAACGCACGATCGACATTCGCCGAGTCTTTTAGAATTTCGAATGATATAATTCTCGCATTTCGATGCGTTACATAAGCGATGCACAAGCGCCATGTGGAACACGTTTCAGTAATATTGCGTAATTTAACGACATGCCTCCTCTCCCTTGTAACATAATCGATATCTCGAATTAACTTATATAAATTAATCGTCGGCTAATCGGCGCTAAATCGATTGACAAAGCGCCCATTACGCCACGCGGGATACGATCGGGCTTACGTAAATGCAGTTGCAGCGAACAGTATTTTATCGCATTATCGCGCGCGGTACGTTTGATCAGACCGAACGTGATCGCGTCGAAACGAGATCAGCAAAGCCGATTGATCGCCGATCGATCGTTCCGTCCTTTATGCGCTGTCATCGCCGTCGGTGCGAATTTCTCTTCACAATCGACTCCGAATCGTCAATCGTCGAGTGCGACAGTCGTTCATGTATCGTCGATGTCCCAACGGCTGTGCGTTTCCTTTCGACGTGAATCACACATTCGATTTATAAGCGAAATTATATGCGAGATGTGTGGCTGTAAAAAGCGATTATTATTCGAGCGATTTGAGTAAATTTTCATGCATTTCTTTTTTAAATACGTTTTGTCGAAATTTCATTCGGTTCGCGCGTCGATTCGCGTGCGGTGTCGACGGTTCCATTGTCTCTCCTAAGTTAGTCTCTTAGTGAACTTAGATGCTTAGGAATTAGACTCGTGAAGCGGCCTTGTTGTTGTTGTGTTGGCAGAATCGTAGCGGGCGGCAATCCCCGGAGCCTCGCTCGTCGCGGCCGACTGTCCCGGCTTCTGCAGTTCAAGCATAATGGAGGGTATCTGTATCGTTTCCAGAATAAAAAGAAAGGAAAAACGATAAGAGAACGGAAAAAGAGGGAGAGCGAATGGGAGAAAGAGAAAAAATTGTGAGAGAGAGAGAGAGAGAGAGAGAATGGGAGAACGAGAGGTGGAACAGTGTGCGAGGAAGGAAATAAGTCGGAATGATAGGGATTGTATTGCAAAAGGGAGTGAATGGGGATGCAGCGAGTGAAAATGCCTGAAAGAAAAGAAGAAAAATAGAGAGAGAGAGAGAGAGAGAGAGAGAGAGAGAGAGAGAGAGAGAGAGAGAGAGAGAGAGAGAGAGAGAGAGAGAGAGAGAGAGAGAGAGGAGAGAAAAGGAAAAGTGTGAAAGTGAGATTAACTTTGTCATGTCTGAAAGAGCATGTCTGTATAAAAAAAGTCGGCTTTTGTAACTACAAGATCCGACTTTTGTTGGATCTCGCGAAATGTTTCTCGGAAATAGTCGCGTTCAGTCGAACGCGGTGAGCTGAATGTTGGAGGAAGAGCGAAAAAAAAAAAAGAGACGTGGACAAGAGTCATTTAGCACGGTCGAATTTCGTGGGAAAAAAAGCGAGGTGAACGAAACCTATAATGGTGAACCTCAGAGAGAGGAGAAGAAGTACTTCTCATTTACGACATTATGTCGCGAGGGGAGACGGAGGGACAGGGTACTCGTTTGAAAAATGATAGGGACGTCGGAGCTGCTCGTTACCGAGCACACCGGTGAATTCACGTGATTTAATTCACTGGTACAATAACGTTAAAGTGGCGCGTCTCTCTTAGGGAGAAAGAGAGAGAGAGAGAGAGAAGAGAGAGAGAGAGAGAGAGAGAGAGAGAGAGAGAGAGAGAGAGAGAGAGAGAGAGAGAGAGAGAGAGAGAGAGAGTAG